ATTCAATATAGTATTGGAAGTTCTAGCCAGAGCAATTGGGCAAAAATAAAAAAATAAATAAAGGGTATTCAATTAGGAAAGGAGGAAGTCAAATTGTCTCTCTTTGCAGACGGCATGATTGTTTATTTAGAAGACCCAATCATCTCAGCCCAAAGTCTCCTTAAACTGATAAGCAACTTCAGCAAAGTCTCAGGATACAAAATCAACGTGCAGAAATCACAAGCATTTCTATACACCAATAACAGACAAGCAGAGAGCCAAATAATGAGCAAACTCGCATTCACAATTGCTACAAAGAGAATGAAATACCTAGGAATACAACTAACAAAGGATGTAAAGTACCTCTTCAAGGACAACTACCAACCACTGCCCAAGGAAATAAAAAAGGACACAAACAGATGGGAAAATATTCCAAGCTCATGGTTAGAGCATGGAATGTTTTCCATTGTGAAAATGGCCATACTGCCCAGAGTAATTTACAGATGCAATGCTATCCCCATCAAGCTACCAATGACCTCTTCAGAGAACTGGAAAAAACCACCTTAAACTTCGTATGGAACCAAAAGAGGGCCCACATAGCCAAGACAATCCTAAGCAAAAAGAACAAAGCTGGAGGCATCACGCAACCTGACTTTATGCTACAAGGATACAGTAATCAAAACAGCATGGTACTGGTACCAAAACAGAGATATAGACCAATGGAACAGAACAGAGGCCTTGGAAGCAATGCATACATCTACAACCAACTGACGTTTGACAAACCTGACAAAAACAAGCAATGAGGGAAGGATTCCCTGTTTAATAAATGATGTTGGGAAAACTGGCTAGCAGTGTGCAGAAAGAAGAAACTAGACCTGTTCCTGACATCGTACACTAAAAGTAACTCCAGGTGGATTAAAGACTTAAACATAAAATCTGACACCATAAAAATCCTAGAATAAAATCTAGGCAGAACCATTTAGGACATAGGCATAGGCTAGCACTTCATGACTAAAACACCAAAAGCATTGGCAACAAAAGCCAAAATAGACAAATGGGACCTAATTAAACTCTAGAGCTTCCGTACAGCCAAAGAAACAATCATTAGAGTGAACTGGCAACCAACAGAATGGGAAAAAAATTTTACAATCTACCTATCTGACAAAGGGCTAATATCCAGAATCTACAAAGAACTAAAACAGATTTACAAGAAAAAAATAAATCCATTCAAAAGTGGGTGAAGGACACGAACAGACACTTTTCAAAAGAAGCCATATATAAGGCCAACAAACTTATGAAAAAATGCCCATCATCACTGATTATTAGAGAAATGCAAATCAAAACCACATTGAGATACCACCTCATGTCAGTTATAATGGCGATCATTAAAAAATCTGGAGACAACAGATGCTAGAGAGGATGTGGAGAAATAGGAACACTTTTACACTGTTGGTGGGAGTATAAATTAGTTCAACCATTGTGGAAGACAGTGTGGTGCTTCCTCAAGGACCTGGAAAAAGAAATTCCATTTGACCCAGCAATCCCATTACTGGGTATATACCCAAAGGATTATAAATAGTTCTATTATAAAGATACATGCACACGTATGTTCATAGTGGCACTGACCTGCAAAGACCTGGAACCAACCCAAATGCCCATGAACGATAGACTGGACAAGGAAAATGTGGCACATATACACCATGGAATACTATGCAGCCATTAAAAAACGATGCGTTCGTGTCCTTTGTAGCGACATGGTTGAATCTGGAAACCATCATTCTCAGCAAACTGACACAAGAACATAAAATGAAACACCATATGTTCTCACTCATAGGCGGGTGTTGAACAATGACAACACAGGGACACAGGGAGGGGAGCATCTCACACCGGGGTCTGTTGCGGGGGGCCAAGGGAGGGACAGTGGTGGGTGGGGAGGTTGGGGAGGGATAACATGGGGATAAATGCCAGATGTAGGTGATGAGGGATGGAGGCAGCAAACCACATTGCCATCTATGTACCTATGCAACAATCCTGCATGATCTGCACATGTACCCCAGAACCTAAAGTACAATTTTAAAAATTAAATAAATAAATAATAAAGTTGTTTTGAGATGGAACAGGGGCCCCATTTTGGAGCCTACTATGTTCCTTCCTTCCCTCCTCTCACCACTGCATGGAAATAAAGAAATAAAATTTAATCCTTTCAAAGGAAATTCCAGGAACCTAGCTAGCCCTGCAACCAGCAATTAAAGAAGTACATGAACAACCTGCCAAACAAGAATACAGCAAGAGTTTAAACAATAGTCACTCAACTAACATAAGAGTCACAAGATATTTTGTTCTCTATAGAAACTAAAGACAGCAACTTGACACATGTCCTTGAATTGTTTCTCAGAAAAACAAGGACCCCCACCAGATGCAAAGTATGGACTGCTTTCATGTACGTCTCAGACTAGAACCAAAAAATGGATAAGGAAGTCCCAGAAATTCCCCAGCCCTTAACTCACTTTAGCAATCCCCTCATCCCTTGCCTTTAAAAACCCTTGCTTGTAAGCCTATCAGGGTGTTCAAGTCTTAAGCATTAGCTGCCTGCTCTCCTTGCTTGGCCTTAGCTGCTTGCTCTCCTAAATGCCTTTCTTTCTCCTACTGCATACCTTTGTGTTGGTGTTTGCCTTTACTTCCCAGGGATAGTGAGTAGGTTCAGTGATAGCCTCTGTATCTGCGTCACCTCCTTCAGAGAACTGTAAGTACTTCAAGACCCTCACTTAAAGTAGAGCATGGCTTTCATTCATTACTTTAGGCATCATTGTATTTTAATAAAAACTCTACTATGTACCATGCACTCTGCTAAGCATTTTCCATAAATTATATAAACTTTGATAAGGTAAGTGCCACCAATGTGATCTTCATTTTATGTTGAAACAGGTGAATTAAACTTCTCACAGTCAGAAAATTTGTTAGTGGCAGACTCAGGACTTAAATCCAAGTCTGTTGACAACAAACACCATGCTTTTTCATTTTATATGTATGTCAAAAGACAATATTACAACAAATTTAGCTTAAAGATCTAGTTGGGTTTTGTGATTCTAGAATGGAGCAACACCTCACTCCATAAAACAGAATGAGTATTCCATTGAGCTCAGCAGAGGAGGTTGGTTGTATAGGCAGAAAAGAGCTGAAGAAAGCAGAAACAGAAAAAAAAGCAGATCAGTCATTTCAACATTACTTCCTTGTAGGATTAAAACAGAGGGGACTTCCTTATTGCTGACTCAGGTTGACTGGAACCTCCTGGGATTTTTTTAGAAAAACTAGTGCATTTCAAAGTCAATCATTGACTTTTGCTTCATGTTGTTAAAGTATATACTTCACTCTCTATAACCTTCAAGATTTAAAAAAAACTATGTACATTAAATTTTAAAACTAGTTTTCATGATAAGACCTTTCTATTGCTTCCTTCCTTTAGCTTTTAAATTAATTTCAAAGACCTTCATTCTAATATGTTTTGCTTGTAAAAATTTGCTTTCAAAATTATATAAAATTATTTTCTTAAAAAAATGTTTAACTTTCCACCTGGTAAAGCCACTCATTTTCATTCAAGGAAGAAATAGCCCTTTATATATTTCATTTGTTTGTCAATCTTGCATCATTTTTTAAAATTACTATTATTTGAGGTAAATAAGCCTTAGTTAATAGGCTTAGCATTTGCAAACAATTAATTTTACAGATAAAGATAACACCCTGGTATTATCATTGTGCACACTTGACAATGCAAACACATCTATTTGCATACTTATCCTCAGATTTTCAAACATATCCTCATTAAAAGCAGTTCCAGGAAAAACATAGCCTCCCTGGAATTTATGTTGTTAAGCATTCAGTCTATTCAATAATGCTTTTTTATTAGTCTCTATGCAATTTTAACCTCATAATCAAAAGATGCTAAATTATTATTGAAAGTTTATGTCGAGTACTTTGTTCAATATTACAGAATCTTTGGATCTCAGACCTCCTACTACATCATTACCAAGAGCTTAGATAAACTGTCCTTTTAGCAGCTGCGAATCTATAAGGCTCTGCAGCAAATTGATTCTTGCTTCCTCAGAAGAAAGGATTCATCTGAGCGGCAGAAAGCAGAGTGAGAGACCAAGGCAAGTTATAGAGCAGGGGTGAAAGTTTATTAAAAAGCTTTAGAGCAGGAATAAAAAGTAGTAAAGTGCATTTGAAAGAGGGCCAACCAGGTGAGTTGAGAGAGATTCAAGTGCACTGTTTGATCTATGACTTGGGATTTTATACATTGGTATGCTTCTGGGGTTTTGTGTCTCTTTACCACTGATTCTTCCCTTGAGGAAGGGTGCCCACATGCCTGATGGCCTGCCAGCACTTGAGAAGGGGCTAAGTGTGTTTACTGAAATTGTGCACATGTGTATTTACTAAAGTTGTGCAGTGTGTTTACTGAAGTTGTTCACAAAATAATTTGAGGCATTCTCCCCTTACCAGTCAAGTGTTCCTAGAGGAAGGTCATATACCAGTTAAATGCCAACATTTTGCTTCTTGGTGTGCATGCTTGAGCCCACTGGCCCAATTCCTGACATCTTATCAGGAAGCTGCTGATCACCAGCTTCAGGTATTTTTTAATCAATCAGGAGACGACTGCCTTTCCCTGGCACCAGCTGCAACCAATTATTATTCTAGCGAGACCGTTTAATAACTGCCTGACCAACGCCATCACCTGATGGTTGCCTGATATTTCTAGGGGGAGGGGGAAGGACAGGACCTTCTCCTGCTGCTTATGTCTGACTAACTACCTACTCTAACATTTCCCCCCTCAAGAGTCCAAGACCCCAGTTTTTTGGGAAAGTGGATGAAGGTCAGTCTTCTATAATTATTTCCTGCTGACAGAGGGGTGGCAGTGGTTGTTCTATGGGTCTTGGCCTCTTGCTAACTGTCAGGGCAGGGTGGCTAGATAGGTTTGTGAAAGTGGTATTTCACTAGGTCCAAGAGAGACAAGGGTATGGTTTTACCTCTCTCATGTCCCTCTGATGGGCAGTCTAGGGCTTATGTAGAAGGGTGACTTGAATATTGACAGGACAGTATCCCTCACTGAGAATCACCTGGAACTTGATGGCCTGAAGGCAAAAGGAGAAAAATTGAGTTATTATATTTAGGAGACATGGACCAAAAAGGAGCAAACATAGGAAACTAACAAGTGGACCTAAAAAGGGAAGAACCCAGAGAACCATTTCCAGGTTCCTTCCCAGTTTAACCAACCCTGAGAGGCTTGTTCCCTTAAATGGGAGACTTACTTTACAAGTTGTCTGATGTTGTCTTGTGCTTTGCCTGATTGATTTAACCTAAAGCAACATTTTTCATCTAAGGTTAAACAAAACTCCCTGTGCTGCCATTAACTTATCTAATCATGGGTGATTCTGGAGGACTATGGCTGACAAAGAGTCAATTTGTTTTTGCATAATTGTTAAGGTTTTAACCATGGTGTCACTGTTGTTGGCTATTTCCTTTAAAAGTTGGCTATAGGTCAAGTAGGCTTTTGTGATTCCAACAATTCTGGCTCTTGTACTGGCTGTACTACCAAGTCCCATGAGAAGGAGAATTAATTGGATAGCCCTCTTCACATTGGACAAAATGGAATACCCATAGATAGATACCAGAAAAGAAAGATTGCCAGGCTTTATAAACATGTCCAGGGATCCATAGTGCGTGGTACGAGTTCCAGTCCAGTTAGTGGGAAGGCATTGGTGAACTGATTGGCCATAAATATGGAAGATTTTTCTGGTTTTAAGACAAGTACAGATGTCCAAATGAGATAAGATTCTGACTCTTCAGCATAACTGTGGGCATGGCTAACTCCAGATGTCTCCAGGCCTTACCTAGAATTTAATGGCTTTAAAGCAGGCAAGTTGTACAGTTAACAGTCATAGTAGCTGTTTATGAACCGTTTAGCAGGCTTAATAACCTTTAACATTGTACAACTTTTTTTTAATAAATTCCCTTTAATGCCTTGCACAAACCATCTATGACATACTTTGACTTTTTGACTTGTCCCCTTTTTAAACAGTCATTTTACTTTATGGCAAGTATTTATTGTACGAGATCCTTTCTCATATAAAATCTCTTTTCATTATAATCTTCGTTACCAAAAAATACCTTTTTATCTTTATAACCTTTAAATTTAGACAAAAGTTCTTTTTTTTTCCTGTTAGGAAGTTATTGTTTGTACAACATGTTGCTGTGCGAGTCCAGTGAAGGAGGAACAGACAAGAAGGTTATATGCATATAGCAGAAATTATTCCCCCTCAAGATATTGCTTATTTAATTTTTTCTAGGGCTTGTCTGAATAATTGTGGGCTATTTCAACCCCTGAAGTAAAACCGTCCAGGTTTAAGTTATTTGTTCAAAATTTAGGTAGCTTTCCTGGGAGAAACAGGGCTATTAGAGAGAAAGATGAACTCAGAGGCTGTATAAATATTAACCTGGTACCCATTTTGGAAATCATATTTTTGCTTCAAAAAGGAGTTAGGTATTTAGATATTACTAGGGACTAATGGGACAATGCTAATTGCTCCCTTAATATAAAGGGATGTGAATCATTTTTTTTGGAAGGAGAGGGTGTCATTTGCCCCCATTACCTGACAGGATATGGAGAAAAGTTGCTTACAGAAGATTAACACAGAGTAGGCAGCTCTTGAACCCTAATGGGAAATTTATAATTTTACTTGCTGCCTCCAGAGTTGCCATTGGCTTTGTCTTGTTGATGATAATATCTGATTTGGAAGCACTCTTGGGGCAGAGAGCCCTTTCAGCTCAAGGCCACCAGGGATTGGAATTCTCTCCTGGGGCCTTTTGACCCTCAGGGTAGTTCCATTTTCAGTGGCCAAGCTTGAGGAATAGGGGGCAAGCCATGTGGGAGTTTTTCCTGTTTATTCTATTGGGACAGTTTGCCTTCCAGTGGTCTGGGCTATCACACAAATGGCAGTTACCAGAAAGGATATTCTGAGGACAACCTGGAGCAAGCTGGAGTTCTTGTAAAGAAATCAGTAGTTGAGCCTGCCTCTTGTACCTGCACTTCTCCTTCTCTTTATCCCTGTCTTCCTTGTCCTGATCTTGGTTATAAAAACCTGCAGAGGCTAATCTAAGAACTTCCTGCATAAGGGCACTGAGTTTTAAGGTTGAATTTTGTAATTTTCTCCCAGTTCATTTTTAAGACAAAGAAAATCTAATTTGTCATTTTAAGGTTGGAGGGGATCAAACTTTTCCCAGTTTTTGAGGATGCATCCAAGGGGCATGTCCTGTGGTATGAAGATGTGATTCCCTATCTATCTCCAAAGAGAGAATGGAAAAAAAAAAAAAAAAAAAAAAAAAAAAAAAAAAAAAAAAAAAAAAAAAAAAAAAAAAAAAAAAAAAAAACAGGAAAAAGAAGGTATCCCCTCTTATCTCCCTATCATCCTTTCCTGAACAGGGCATCCCCCAGTTTGTCCTTAGGGTTCCAGAATGAACCCGTCTCATCACAATTACCCACTTAGAGGCAATACCAGAGCAAACAGGGGCCCCATAGTCATCCTTGGGATTCCAGAATGAACTGTTCTTACCAGGTACCCCTAACCTTGCTTTTATCTCTGTTTTCATGGTCATCTGTTTTGTGCTTATAGTCTGGGACCAGCCTCATCTCTGTCCTATGGGTACTTTTTTACTTTTTGAGATAAGGTCTCCCTCTGTCACCCATGTTGGAGTACAGTGGTACGATCTCAACTCACTGCAACCTGCACCTCCCAGGCTCAAGCAATTCTCCCACCTGGGCCTCCTGAGTAGCTGGGACTACAGGGATATGCCACCAAGCCTGCCCACTTTTTTGTATTTTTTGTAGAAATGGGGTTTTGCCATGTTGCCCAGACAGGCCTCAAACTCCCGAGCTCAAGTGATCTGCCCGGTTGGCCTCCCAAAGTGCTGGGAGTACAGGTGTGAACCACCATGCCCGGCCCCTATGGATATCTCTTCTGCCTGTGGCCATGGGCCAGCCTATATCCCTGTTTCCATGACCTTATAGTGACTCTTACTCAAAGCATTCCAGCAAAATGATTATCTCTTTCCTCAGATTCCTATTTCCTATGTTCATTAAGTAGACATGAAGTCTATTTTTCAGCCAAGTGCCACAAGAGGGCTGGACTTCCCTCCCTTCTAATATGACCTTGAAAGTCCTTATTCAAATTGAGAAGGGCATAGAAGTGTTTAGAGGAAGGGAGAAAAAATTTCTATTTGGAGTTACTTGTCCTCCTGGGGTAACATGCAGAACAAATGCTTAAGCAGACACAGCAATCCCTCTGCTACAAAAGGAAGCAAGAGGGATATTCATGGAAAGCCTTCACACACTTGCAAAAACAGCAGCCCCTGGATTGAGAGGGCAACATTTATTCACCCTATTGACATAAAGGAACAACCTCTAGAGGACTTGGGGCCTGAGATAAGGGCTGGAAAGTGACAAAGGAAAATTCCCTCCGCCCAAAAGGGTGCTAACTCAAAACAAGCAAGTAGGCAGAGTCCTTAAAGAGGCCAGCCACGGAGTGAGGTCCTATGCAGGTGGACAAACCGCTTCAAAAACCACCCAAAAACTTGGCCTGGAGCATAACAGGGGTGAAAAGCATATAGTAAGTCATAAGAAGCTGGCAGAACAGGGTTTCTTGTTCCAACTTGTGTCTGTCCCAAAAATAAACCAACAATACCTGCAAGGGAGCCTGTTTCTTTGCTCCTGCACAAACAGCAAGAGCCATGGGCACAAGAATAACAGAGAATGTACGTCTAAGGCCAAGAGGGAAGTCATGTGGCATACAAAGTCAGAGTAGAAAAGAGGCAGGCTTGCTCCCAAAGAAGACACTCTGGCAGGTGCACCAAGTCATTTCAGAGTACACACAGAGAAAACAGGAGAATAGGTGGTGTGTGTTTTGGGGAAAGAGCCTATTTTAGTTAAAAAGCAGAGGAAACCCCAGACATTGCATGATCTCAGCTTTAGTCCTGCCACTCTCACGAGCCTCCTGTCCAGTAGGGCCATTAGTGTCTAAGGCTTACTCAGTGTGGACCACAAGGTCCTTCCCACCCCAACAAGCCACCCATCATGGTGAGCTGCCAGATCAATGGGGGGCACTGAGCAGCTGTGGCTGAGAGGAATCATTCTGGGGATTGGCTAGTAAGCATGAGAGCAAAAGGGGAGAAGAAAACCATGTATGCGGCTGAACACATCCAGCCAAAGAAGGTGAGGTGTAGAGGTGTCTTACCTCTAGAGAATGTATCCAAGTTGTGTGGCACCAAAGTATGTTAGCAGCAGCTAATCCATACAGGTCTGAAACAACTAAGTTTTTGCCTCCTCAGAGGAAAGAATTCATCTGAGGGGCAGAAGGCAGAGTAAGAGACCAAGGCAAGTTTTAGAGCAGGAATGAAAGTTTATTTAAAAAAAAGTGTTAGGCTGGGCACCATGGCTCATGCCTGTAATCCCAGCACTTTGGGAGGCAGAGGTGGGCAGATCATCTGAGATCAGGAGTTTGAGACCAGCCTGACCAACATGGAGAAACCCCATCTCTACTAAAAATACAAAATTATCTGGGTGTGGTGACACATGCCTGTAATCTCAACTACTTTTGAATCTGGGGGGTAGAGGTTGCAGTGAGCTGAAATCCCACTACTGCACTCCAGCCTGCACAACAAGAACAAAACTCCGTCTCAAAAAAACAAACAAAAAACAAAAAGAAATAAAAAGGTTTTAGAGGAGCATCAAAAGAAAGTAGACTAGACTTGGAAGAGGGCCAAGCAAGTAACTTGAGCGATCAAGGGCACTATTTGGCATTTGAGCTGGGGTTTTACACATGGGCATGCCTCTGGAGCTTTGCATCTCTTCTTTCCTGATTCTTCCTTTGGGGTGGGCTGCCCACATGCACAGTGGCTTGCCAGCACTTGGGAGGGGCCACCTGTGCAGTGTGTTTACTGAAGTTGTACACAGGCTCATTTGAGGTGTTGTTCCCTTACCTGTCAAGTGTTCCTAGAGGAGGGTCATAAACCAGTTAAACTCTGCCATTTCGCCTCTTAGTGTACATGCTTGAGCCCACTCCCCCAACTCCTGAGCTCTTATCAGGAAGCTGTGAATCACCAACTTTAGATGTTTTCTATTCATTGGGAGTCCGCCTTTCCCTGGCATCAGTTGTGACCAGTTATTATTTTAGAGAGTGTTTAACAACTGCCAGACCATCACTCGATGGTTGCCTGACACTTCTTGTCGGGGGCTACTCTCCTACCCTGCTGATGTCTTCCTAGCTATCTACTCTAATAGTCCTACCCCAAATCGTATTTACTTTTCTTTACTAGCCATTAGGACTGTGCCTCCACAGACATGTCTTTGTTGTGTTGTGTTGTGTTTTGTTTTGTTTTGTTTTGTTTTGTTTTGTTTTGTTTTGTTTTGTTTTGTTTTGTTTTGTTTTGTTTGAGACAGAGTCTCACTCTGTCACCCAGGCTAGAGTGCAGTGACACAATCTTGGCTCACTGTAGCCTCCAGTTTCTGGGGTCAAGTGATTCTTATGCTTCAGCCACTGAAGTAGCTGGGATTACAAGGCATGTGCCACCATGCCCAGCTAATTTTTATATTTTTAGTAGAGATAGGGTCTCACCATATTGTCCAGGCTGGTCCGAAACTCCTGACCTCATGTGATCTGCATGCCTCAGCTTCCCAATGTGCTGGGATTACAGGCATTAGCCATCTCCCAGCCCAGACATGTCTTAAAGAGAAAAACAGGGGCTGGGCATGGTGGCTCATGCCTGTAATTCCAGCACTTTGGGATGTTGAGGCGTGTGGATCACAAAGTCAGGAGAACAAGACCATCCTGGCCAATGTGGTGAAACCATGTCTCTTCTCAAAGTACAAAAATTAGCTGGGCATGGTAGTACATTCCTGTAATCCCAGCTACTCAGGAGACTGAAGCAGGAGAATTACTTGAACTAGGAAGTCAGAGGTTGTAGTGAGTGGAGATCATGCCACTGCACTACAGCCTGGTGACAGAGTGAGACTCCATCGTAAAAAAAAGAGAGAGAGAGAGAGAGAGAAATAAAAAATGATTAGCATCATTTATTGCTTTTTTTTTCAAGGTGTTTAACAGTAACCACTTCTAACAAATTTCAGAGATTTTTTTTAAATTCATAATCTGTTTATTTCAGGATAGGCATGGTCTAAATTCTCAGTCAAATCTTTGGCAGTGGCTAAAATGAAAGGACAAACAGCAACTCACCTTCCTTTTCTATTCCGACCTACATGAATACTTCTTTTCCTTCTTTATCTATACAGCCATTCAAAGTATGGATAACTGCTGGTGGCCTTCTAACACAGTGTGATCCTACCCAGGAGGCTTCACCAGTCAAATGAAGTGGTAACAACTACCTAATCTTTATTACACATCTAAAAATTTCTAAATGTCAAGTATGAAAAACTGAAAGAAATAATTAGTAAAGCATGTATCTCTAATTATTTTACTTTGAAACTCAGCTTTCACTTCTTAAAAATTTCCTCAATTTTTTAATACAAGGTTACTTCCTTAGTAAGATTTTTATAATACAACTTTAAAATTAAGAAGTAATATTATGCTTAATTGTGAAAAACTAAAATTGAAATCGGGGTGAGAGGAGTATGCTAATTATCATCACTAGCAGTAAACATTATCTTACAAGTGTTAGCCAACACAGTTAAATAAGTAATTGAAAATAAGAATATAAATAATATAAATATGAAAATGGAAAAAATAAAATGGTAATTATTTACAGATGATATGACAGTCTATCTGGAAACTGCAAAATTATCTATTGAAAAATCATTAAAATAGTAAGGTGTGTCTTAATGCAAATGGTTTACAAAATTAATATGCAAAATCAATACCTTCCCTTCACAGATATCTCCACAACTTTTATGCATAATGTGTTTCTGAAAGGCACTACCAAGGCCAAACAATGAATATACACAATAAAGGGAAGGTGGAATGTGGAATATGGAATATAACATAAAAAGTTTTATGAACATATTAAATAAAGATATTTCTTTAGTAAATGAGGTAGGATGTAAAGCTAATAAAATGAAGCATCTATGTGCATTTTCACACTAACCCCTACAAGCTAACATGTTCTTTCCATCTGGCTCCTAAACTCCTTCTTTCACAGTAGGAACCAAAAAGGAGGTCATGACACTTCTATGATACCTCATGGTCAAAATTTATGAGTCCTTTTTATACATCGACTTTTCTCATTATTGTATCATTATCTTAGATAAGTGTCTTCTATCCATAGGAATTCAGAAACATATTTATTTGGTAATACCTTCACTGAAACTTAACCTAGTAATAGAGCTGAAGAGAAGAATAGCTTTACTAAGCCTGAAGTCATAAGATAATTATAGAATCCCCATTTATAGCACACTGTTTTGATACATTCTTTAATGCTATCTTTCCAACATTTAATATATGTCCCTTTTTGTTCATTTTCATCACAATTAAACAATAATTGCATATAGACAATGAGTAGTCAGTTGAGGCTGGTTTGAGCTTTTTGGCAAGTCTATTTTAATTTTTGCCTCAATTGTGACTAATTTTAGAAGACTTATGCTTCCATCACTAGTATTAGCATATTTATTTTCCACTTTTCCCAGTAATTTTCTAAAAATGCTAAGGAAAAAATGGAATATATAGTCAACTATTTCCTCAAACATAGACCCAAAAATATCCAGACTGCGAAATTCAACTACTAGCTGTCAAGGGGGCAGGCTAGCATTTAAAATAGCTTAAGTTGTGTGTTTATTAGCTGAGAGATGAAAACTTAAATTTGGAAAATGAAAAATGGTTTAGAAGTAGCATTACACTATATGATATACAAGTGGGCAAGGTGCATGAGACAAAGTCACAAAAGTTGAAAATGATTACAGAGACAAAATTTTTTTAATTACTAAAATAGCAATAGAAAAGGTTAAGAATTTAGGAATAAATTTGTTCCAGTTATCTATTGTTATATATTAAATCACCCCCAAATTTAGTGGCTTACCAAAACAATGATCATTTGGTTATCTCTTATAATGTCTTAGGCCCAGGCACTCAGAAAGGTCTCAGCTCAAAGACTTTGGCTTAGCGCTTCCCTTGAAGTTGAGGTCAGATAGTGGCTGAAACTGAAGCAGCAGGGCACAGGAGCAGCAGGGCTTCCTCCAAAATTGGCAACCTCAAGGTAATTTGCAATCAGCCTTCTTACATGGCAACTATAGACCTTAAGAGAGACCATTCCACCTTTAAAATGTGAAATCTGTTTCATTGCCTAGCATTGGATGGAAATGGAAAGCATTTTATGTCATAAAAAGCATAGCCTCTGAAGTCATGAAGAATCACTTCCATTGCTTTCTTTTGGTTGCGAATGAGTTGCAAACCCACCCAGACTGAAGAAGAGAATTTGACTTTACCTCCTGATGGAGGCAAGGCAAGAGTTGCAAGGTACAGTGAATATATTGCAATTTTCTTTGGGAAAAAAAAAAAAAACTATCCGCCACCAAATCTGCAATGAACTATGCAGAATCCACATGGAAAGAACTATATAAGCTTAAAGTAAGTTTAAAAAGAGAATATTAATAATCATATTTTAAAATGTTTAACATTATATGCCAATAAGAAATTTCAAATTAAAACAATGATGAGATACTACTACAGGCCTCTTAGAATGGTCAGAATTCAACTAACAACACTAAATGATGACAAGGATGTGGAGCAACAGGAACTCTGATCCATCGCTGGTGGGAACACAAAAGAATGCAGCCAGTTTGAAAGACAGTTTGGCAGCTTCTTTCGAAACTAAACAAATTTGTATCATATGATCCAGCAATTGATAGGGGTATATGAGAACTCCCTAAACTTTCTGCCCAATTTTCTATGACCCTAAAACTGCTCTAAAAAATACAACCTATTTTTTTTTTTTTAAGAAAATGAGAGGGAGAAGATACAGGTTGATAGATGTTCTTGAGTGGTAGAACGTATCATATCATAAGATGCCATTGTCCCCAAAGTAAATTTATCAGCTTAATACAATCTCAATCTAAACTCTAATGGGATTGTGTTTTGAAACTTGACAAAATGATTTTAAAGTTGGTATTGAAGAGTAAACTATTAACCTGAGGACTTAAAGAGTCAAAGGCCAGAGGAAATGACACACTTCCTAGGAGTGCTGTGAGGATTGAAGGAATCAACAGAGGTAGAGCACTTGGAAAACGTCTGGAGTAGAACAAGTGCTCAGTAAATATTAACCATTATTGGACTGAAAAATGTATCTATATGATTACTCCTAATATAATTCTTCTCAAGGTGGGAAACAATGAAAATGACTTGAGGTGAAATATATGAGACTAATGTGTGCTGTAGTAAAAGAAAGAAAATAAATGATTTGGTAAGTAGAGGGACAAGTGAAATCTAGAGGGTCAATTTTAAGATAAAATAAAACCATATCTGTGCGCTATGTGCATGAGTCTGTGAGAAGGGAAATTATGATCATTTATGAGAGTTAAGGGATAGTTTCTGGATTCCTTCCCTTGAATAGGAAATAGGGAATAAGATATATGAATATAGCTCACAAGCAGAGGAATAGTCCTGACCTAGCAGTTTATTCTTACTCTCAAGAGAGGGAACAAGTTATATGGATACAGTTGCTAGTAGGAAGGTATGTAGTCAAGCCTGGTAGATCGGATTCCCCAGACACTGCATGCTAACAACCTCCCTAAGTAATTGTTATTCTTCATAGAGTTTGACAACCACTACTCTATATAAACACATTCATGTATGGGAAACTGAGGCTTAAGAAAACAAAAATATTTGTCTCAGATTGAATACCTCTTTTGTAGCATCACCAGGACGAGCTTCCAGCCTTTTCTGTTTTCACTATACAAACACTAATAAAGTGAAAATGAGTGTTATAGAAAGTTAGTAAACGTTCTTCTATAACCATGTAGTCATTTGATCTTAATATGGACAATCTACTTCAAATTTTCCAGCTTTTACAATTCACTGTGAAATATGACACTAAGTTAATAGTGTTAAAGCCTAATTTGAAGATTGTCTCAAAATCCAAAAACACAAATAAAAATAGATTCCTACATTTTTATATAAAATAATGCCATTGGAAATTTTTGTTCAGCACAACCCATCTTTGTAAAAAATAAAATAAAATAAAAACTTCTGCTGTGCCATTTATTAAATCTTGCTGATTGGTTTAGGACATAATTTTCTATTTACTAGAATATTTTTCCTGAGATAGAGATTGAATTCGTGACTTTCATTGTCTCACTGTCCTACATTAAGTTCACTCAGAGGAATTTCTTCCCACATGGATTAAAAGCATGTATGCCTAGCAACATGTTGTTTGCTTTTTTCTTCAACTTTTAAATTCTGGGGTAGATGTCCAGGATATGCAGATGTGTTACTTAGGTAAATGTGTACCATGGTGATTTGTTGCACAGATTAACCCATCACCTAGGTATTAAGTCTAGCATCCATTAGCTATTCTCCCTGATGCTCTCCCTCCTCCCACCCCTCTTCACAGGCCCCAGTATGTATTGTTCTTCCCCGTGTGTTCCTGTGTTCTCATCCTTTAGTTTCCATTTATGTGAGAATATGCAGTGTTTGGTTTTCTTTGCCTGCATTAGTTTGCTGAGGATAACAGTTCCCAGCTCCATCCTTGTCAATCCAGTTCCTTTTTATGGCTGCATAGTATTCCATGGTATATATGCAGCACATTTTCTTTACCTAGTCTATCATCAATAAGCATTTGGGTTGATTTCATGTCTTTGCTATTGCAGATAGTACTGCAATGAACATATGCATGCATGTATCTTTATAATAGAATAATTTATATTCCTTTGGATGTATACCCCATAATGGGATTGATGGGTTAAATGGTATTTCTGCTTCTAGGTCTTTGAGGAATTGCCATACCATCTTCCACAATGGTTGAACAAATTTACACTCCCACTAACAGTGTAAAAGTGTTCCCTTTTCTCTGTAATATCACTAGTATCTATTGTTAAATGACTTTTTAATCATTGCCATTCTGACTGATGAGAGATGGTATCTCATTGTTATTTTGATGTGCATTTCCCTAATGATTAGTGGTGTTAAGCTTTTTTAAAATATGTTTGTTGACTGCATAAATGTCTTCTTTTTAGAAACTGCATGTTAGCATGCAGTTTGAGAAGAGTCTCTTCATTGCTCATGTTTTAATAGGGCTGTTTTTTTCTTATAAATTTGTTTAAGTTCCTGTGGACTCTGGATATTAAACCTTTGTCAGATGGATAGATTGCAAAAATTTTCTCCTATTCTGTAGGTTGTCTTCATTCTGATGATAGTTTCTTTTTCTGTGCAGAAACTCTTTAGTTTAATTATATCTCATTTGTCAATATTTGCTTTTGTTGCAATTGCTTTTGGCATCTTTGTCATGAAATCTTTGCCCATGTCTGTGTCCTGAATGACATTATCTAGATTTTCTTCTAGGGTTTTTATAGTTTTTGGTTTTAGATTTAAGTATTTACTTCATCTTGCATTAATTTTTACATAAGGTAAAAGAGAGGGATCCAGTTTCAGTTTTCTGCATTGACTAGCCAGTTTTCCCAGCACCATTTATTAAATAGGGAATACTTTCCCCATTGCTTGTTTTTGTCAGGTTTGTCAAAGATCAAATGGTTGTAGAGCAATACATTGTTAATTAAGAATATTCTTAAGCATGTGATGTAATGCCCTCTCATACTAATTAATGCTAATATATCTTTAAGAATTTGGAGTACTAATATTTCTCTAATTATAAATTTAAAGCATATTCTTCCATGCACTACTGCCACCCTATCAAAAGGATCACAGAGAAGGATATGGAATGTTAGTATCCGAGAAGAAAGTGGAAAGACACACAACTTAAAGCCAAAATAACTGAAGAAATTTAGTATAAGATATCTGAGAACCAAGCTATCCATTCACTAGGCTGAAAAGTCAATCTCTAGATGTGAGAGTTGATATCCCTCTCTTTCTCTCTTCGTGTGTGTGTGTGTGTGTGTGTGTGTGTGTATCTGTGCTGGTGATAAGATGGCCAAAGTTTACATCAATAGAGAGGCATCCCCCACTATTTAAAAAAATACACACATAAAGAACCACACATCTGTTCTACTAACATAATTCATACTTCACTGTCAGTATATAATGATCTTTTAATAGTAAGTCCTTATTGATTTCAACTCTGTGATACATGAAAAGCTCTATTACTGAGCCCCTGAACTATGCAAACTAATTATACTCCTGTAGTGACTAAAAGTGTGTTTACAATTGTTATTGATAGTCTTGTTTTCAACTCTTCATAGAGGTTCACTGCACTTTGTGATATAACCTCCACATCAAAAGTGAAGCAGTTGCAGACCCACAGCATCTACCCTCCCTGGAATGAGGATATGGGAGGTGTGAGCAAGATACTTGAAATCACACAGGACCAAAGGGAAGGGGACAAGAATGAGGCAAATATCAAAATCAAGACACAATATCTCAGAACAGGGCATTCTAGAAAGACTACGCAAGCCATCGGCTTAGGCCTGAAATTCTGAAGTTTCTGAGCCAGGCCCACAGCCATCTTCAAGGTGTAGGTCCAGGCATTAGAATTCTTCCCTCTAAACTCTACACTCTAAAACAGCATGGACCACATGTGGTTTTGTTCACCATTGTAGCCTTAGCACTTAGAATGGTGTCTGATTCACTGTAAGCACACAGTAAGACTTGTTAAATTGGTGACTGAGTAAATGAATGAACAGGAATCACTGCCTTGGATGGCAAGTAGTCAACCCAAGTAGTTTTTATTTCTCTTGAAGAAATGAAATGTGTGTTGCTAGGAAAATTACAAAGACACTAGCAAGAAGCAATAAAGCAAAAGTCACAATTTAAGGAGATGCAGTACAGTTAAGAGGAGGTGAGCTGGTCGGTTGTATAGAATAAATAAGAACAGAAGCAAAGAAGTATCTAGATAAAAAGAGCCACAGAAGTCATGAGCAAGCAGCAGGTATCCAGTAGTAGAGTAGAAAGATGAAGGAGCAATGTCTAGCAGAGTGGCCCTTTTGTCCCCAGAGCCACTGTCAAAGTATTAAAGGGTTGCCTTCAGCAAAAGAGGTGCTGCCTTGCTCTGAAGGTTAAGCAAATCTCTTTCCTGATGGAATGAGGGAAGCCCAAGACCAAAGGAAAACATGAGGATACAAAAGAGCATCTCCCTTACCTTAAGAGGAATCTAACTGTGGTGTAATGAGCTTGCCATGACAACAGGCTGAAGGTCAAAACTCATGTGCACAGGAATCCACACTTCAGGCTCTCCTTTTAGGGAATCTAACCTCAGGCATCTACCAAGTGCCAGACCCAAGGTCAAGCACTTGGGAGCACAGTGGTGAGCAACAGAAGCTCAGCTAGCTCTTCCACCTGGAACTTCCAAATCTGGCAAAGATTGGCAGATAGATATTAAACAACAACTTAATCACAAAAAAAGTATTTATAATTACCACTATTTTGGTGAAGGAAAATGACACCATCAATGAGACATAGCATCTGGAAAATTACAAAATTCAGAGTCAGCTACAAGATTCCAGATGGATGATTAAATATTAGATCTTTTCCAATGAAGATGTTTATTAAA